ATATAGTTGTTGTTTTAAACTGATATCCAAATCATACAAACTAAACAGAACACATTCAATTTATTGACAAAAGTGTGCAATATGAACAATGCTACTGAAGTATGACCAAAACTACTTCAACATAATAGAAGCCATTTAAATATAATCAAAGTAACGTCAATAATTAAAAAAAAAACCCTTTATTAGAGGTTGTATATGTTTATCGAGCTGTTTAGAATGATACGCCACATAGGCTGGAAAATCTCAATAAAGCTGTAATAAGAAATCAATGCCTTGATTGCCAAGACTGAAGAGTGAAGCTATTTTTCATTTAATCAACTTTAAATTTGAAGTTTGAAATTTGATTGCATACTCGTTAAGTGTTAGAAGACTCTTAGTAAGGCTGCGTGCAGGACAACCATACCACATAGTACCCAATAATGTTTGCTTTGCGTAATTACAGGAAGGATGTAACTGACAGCGATAAAACTAAATAACGGAACCAGGGGACTATTGTTACACATGCCTCTATGGCTTCTAGAGATAAAATCTCTTTTTTTACAGCGATAAAAATACTCTTTTATTAGCATTTAATACAACTGATTTTATGAGTATTTATAGCCTAAAAAGGTTTTTTATAGCTGGGGAAATTCAAGTAGACTTTCTAGAAAAATGTCCCAAAAAATCTGACTTGAATTTTTTGTAGTGGTTCAAACATTTAAAGGAGAATTCCGCTTTTTTGTGAGACGAAAAATTTGCTCAAATTTGTGAAAACTATACACCAAAATCTAGAGTAATGTGCCCTTTAACGTATCTGAAAGTTTTAACTAAAAAAAAATCCAGCCGTGGATTTTTAAACGCCAAAATATTTAAAAACATTACGTAAGGTATTCAAGTTCTTCTTGCCTTTTGGAGGCTGTGAACATATTTCTGTACGGATTTGAGTAAAATAAACCCCTAATTGTAGAGAAATAAGTTTCCTACGTATTCTAAATGGTTTCAACTAATAATATCGAGCCATTATAAAGTCAAACACCAAAACGAGTTCAAGCGGCTTAATTAACTGCTCTCCGTTTTAAATTTAACCCTTAAAACAAATTCAGTTTGATCAAGAATATACATATATATATACTTTAGAAACATTTTCAGGTATTATTTATGACATTTTTGATATTTTTCCACAATGGATATATTTTGCGCTATGTAATGTATACAATAAAATGATTTTCGGTCTCTGCGACAATTCCAGCAAATATTTATCACGTTGGAGTGATAGAGATCACGATTTTCAAGTTGGCGGTAAGGTTTCACTCGGGTCAGCTTCAATTTGTTTGATACAGAATCAAGTGAAAGAGATTTGTTGATGATGACGAGAATTCGTTCTAAAAAATCGACATTACCATATAATGGTATGATGTAGACGTACCCTCATTAATGCACCTTCAATTATATGCAAAGTAATGGACCATCTGCCTGGATTTATCTCTTTTATTTTGTCGTGCATGGAACAAAGTTTCAACTTTCCTGCCTTTATACACACAAAAATATTCGTTGTCGTTGTCCATCTTTTCAGACCTCTTCCATTGAAACGCTGTAGGAGGATATTATTTTAGTGTTCCTGGATATCGACCTATTTTCGAAATGAGCAGATTTTCCCAAATTTTGACAGATTTCAAGCTTCGTTACCGTTACTTCATTCACACTGTTGACGAACATAAGGCTTCAAATAGCAAATCCGACCGGGGCATAAGCTGGAGGAAACTAGAATCATGTACGTCTAGTAAGTTAAATCCGTATGTGTAGAATGGAAAGATACTGATGTGACTGTTTTACTAGTCTATTGGCGACTGAATGGATGGATGGATGGATTTATTCGAGGGTCAGAATCTAAGAATAATTTTCTAAAAAAAAAAATGTGCGACATCCACCGTATAATTGATGTGAATGTAATGAAGTATTATCAAAACATATATAGTTGATCGGGATGTTGGCCTAATATGTTCAATATGAAATAGTTAAAAGTTAAAGTATTTGATCTCCAGAAATACGTAATCATAATATCGTCGGACAGTGTCTGGACAAGAAAGGTCAGCAAAGCGCGATAAAGAATATACACTACTCTAGTGTTGAAAAACATCGAAGGCGAAACATCTTTCAGTAAAAAATGAGTTATAACTGCTGTAATGTATACTATTTGTTAGGAAATTAAAAATATGTATCAGTAATCTCGAGGGTAATGTTGGTAACATTTGAAATATACAAAATATTTATGATATCCAACTGAACAACAAAGGAAATATAACAAACATAAAATGTGATTAATAATATTAAAATGAGTGATTATTGATATTTATTACAATTATAAAAAGGTCGTTATGAATATTCAGGAAACAATTAAATTAGAATAACTACACAAATACACATATAAATCTACCGGTTATTAAGTAATTAACACTTACTTGTACTTCAACCGAAATGTTCTGTACAAGAAATGAAATCGGAAGATGAATAAAGCGTGTATTATATTTAGTATGACTATGACAAAGATTAAAACGCGAAAGAGATATTTATATCTAGGAGGATTTTCCAAATTGCCGATTTGAGGTTGTATTATGTATTGTTAAAAAGTAAACTATTTACGAGGTTCTGTAGCACAGTTAGTGAGAGCGTTGATTCTTGACTGGCGTCAATTTCTTGGTTATTTCGAACAAATAGTAGTTTCTAATCGCGTGTTAAAGAACCAGCTTTGAATGGGTACGGATAATCAGGGAAAGAAGTTTTATCCAAAAAAGTCTCTGGGTCATCTTCTTATAGTCAATAATAATAATAAAAATTTTTTTTTACATGGGTCCGAAAGAGGCCCAATACATAAGGACATGGTCCTGTCTAACATCCAGTTCATGTACAGTCTTGCTGTGGCATAACTCCTTCCGAGACAGTCTACAAACTTAACAGCCCACCGTAAGCCCACACAAGGATTTTGTCCTGTCTAACATTCAGCCCATGGGAACAATACAATGAAACGGAAGAAAAAACAAATTTAAACAATATTTTGATGTACAACTTGTTTAAAAATACACAAATACATGTATCGGTAATGTTGCTGTGATCAAGTACATGACCAGAAAAAGATGAACAGCCATTATAATATAATTAATTTGTTGAACATATACTATAAATGTACAGTTATTTATGAAATAAACAAGTACAAGTGTATTAGATGGACAGATTATGTGATCAAGTACATGACTACAAAAAGATGTACAGCCATCATCATAATATAAATGATTTGTTACACATATACTATAAATGTAAAGCTATTTATATTTATGAAATACACAACAACATAGACGTTATGCTAACTTCAAAAAGAAGTACTGACACAAAAATACATTAAATATATCCATCAAAAATAGGTCAACAAGTTTCGGACTATTTTCAATTAAGTGAAATATTCCCCTTACTGAAATTAGTCAAACAATCGTTCAAGAGAGAAACAATTAGATATTCATGGTCAGAAAGTCCTGTGAGAATGTAAGCCTGTATAAAATAGACTTATTGCTAATTACACTTTGTGTGCCATACTATCAATCAATCGGCGACTAGAACTTGTTAAGTTTGAGGATTGGAAAAGAGAAGTTTCTCTCAGAAATGTCTTATTTCAGTAAAACTTTCTGCAATCATATTTTCTAATATGTTATGCTGATTTTTGTCTGCAGCAATAGGTAAAATCAAATCAACTCTCTCGGATATATTCTTTATTACACAGTGTAATGAAATACTGAGATTTGCGTGAAAACATTTTTCTTTTATATAGGGTAATGTATACACTAACCCGTAATCGGAGAGGGGAAGGGGGGGGGGGGGGGGTGGCATCACAATACTGAAGCGTTTAAGTTTGATTGAGAAAATGGATACTGTAGTACAAGACCGGTGTCTTCAATCCTCCGACAGATCACTATTTTGTTTCATCATACCTGATGAACATTCACACTTTAAATCGCAGTCAGCGTTGAAAAGTCTCAAAATGATCTGCTTGACTGTCGGGGTAGTCAGAGGATTGAAGACACAGGTACAAGACTTTGGAGTTGATGGACGTCTACATCCATGGCATTTACTAGTTATCTACCGTCCTCCGCACTCTTCTGACAGATTTACTATTCAGCAGTTTTAATCGGACAAATTCTGGATCCGTTTCTCACCCAGTTTTGCTGATTCCCAAGACTTCGCTACTGATCAGTCGCTGCCCTGGGATCATATATGTGAATGTTTTACTACGGCTATTCATCGTCACCCACTTGCCAGGATCACCGCTGCATACAGAATATTGTTAAGTCGGCATTCCGTGCTTCTTTTATTACACCAGGACGTTGATGTGTTGTATGAGCTGTATAGTCCGCTTTGAGAACTGTCATGGATAGCCATGCCCTAAATCAGAATTCTGCTGTTTGACTGGTTGCCAGAATGTCGCCGCGGTCAGGTTAGTCTATTATACCCTATCTGCGAGAGCAGAATTCGCTTCAAAATAACTTACCTTCTGGAATAGTAACTCAAAAGTCTGATGAGATCCGGCTTGAGTCACCAACTGAGTCACCGTTTGTGGACCCGAACTGTAAAATATTCTCCCACAAGATCTATGAGTAATTGGCTTGTACAGTCAATTCAAGGAATCCTACTTTCTTTGTAGTCAAGACTGCAGTTAAAATTGATGATATGATAGTTCTCGCTATTTTCTGTGATGTATATGTATAAATTGTAAAGCCTACTGAGATACTGTATAGAGTTGGCAATAAATAAACACATTGAGATTTACGTCAACACGACATAAACAAATTTATTTTTACATAGTGTAATAAAATACATTGAGATGGGCATAATCCCGACATGCTCAAAGGTTAGAAATTTCTGTTTGGACGGGAAGTTTGATTTTTGTTCCACCTGTAAAGTCAATCATAGAATATTAGTCGCTCGTTGATTACATTTTATATACAAATGTACAGGCCTAGGGTGGAGCAGACACTTTATTTAGAAATTAGGATTAAGGGTCTTGATATTGGGTTTTCTTCTGTTCTTATTCTGATCTGAAATTAGAAAAAATAACTCGCCCGATGGGCGAGAAGTATAGTATCTGTTATGTACTGATTGTTTTTAGTTTACTATGAACAATATTATCATTTAAGTTCTTATTTTTTGAATATGCAACTATCATTTTCTGCTTATAGACATGGGGGAATTATCTTGAAGGCTCTTATAGTGGGCATGAACTATCTTGCTTGCTCGATTGCTGGTTGTATTAAACGGGACAACAAAGGGTGCTATGCCTACATTATGATGAATATTTAGTCCTATAGGTCTTGCTGTATTCAATGTCTCAATCCAATGGGCCTCCCTAGATTGACGGAATTTGGTAGTTTCATCTTCGGGCAAGTCAATTTCTATACGCTCAATTGGGATTAGGGTGAGATCGTCTATTGAATGGTCGTCCAGGTTGAAATGATTAGAAACAGGCTTGTCTTTCTTTAATTTGATGTCTGACCTATGAGCATTAAAGCGAGTTCGTAAATTATTCTTAGTTTCTCCTACATATTGTTTGGGGCATTTCTTGCATGAAATTAAATATATTACATTCGAATGTTCACATGTTAGGTGTTCCTGGATCGGGTACCTTTTATTCGTAGAGTTGCTTACAAAATAATGAGTTTCTGATATAAAGGGACATGTTTTGCATCTACTGGACAAACATGGAGCACTTCTTAAACCTGGCGGTACTTCGGCATAAAGTCTGTTTTTAGCTGCTATCTGTGCTAAGGTGGAATTTTTTATGTTTCGTAAAAATCGTTTAGAGTACCCACGCTCTTTCAGTTTTGAGAAAACAATCGTACAGGCTTGGTTGAAATCAGAAGATCTTGTACAAATTCGATGAAATCGTAAAACTTGTGACTTAATTATACCAGAAAAGGTATGTTTTGGGTGAAAGGAGCTCTTGTGCAAGAGTTGATGAGTATCAGTTTCTTTGAAATACACTTTAATATCCAGTTTATTTGTTTCTGCTATGGAATCTCCCTTAAAGACTGTGGTATCGAGAAAGTCTATGCTTTTGTCACTCACGTTTGCGGTTAGTTTTATAGAAGGATGGTGGTTGTTGAGAATTTCAAAGAATTCCTAAAACTGTTCGATAGAATAAGTCCAAACCATAAAAATGTCATCCAAAAAGTATCCGTAAAATAGTGGGTCAAATGGACAGAGGGGCAACACCTCACGTTCCCACTCTGCCATGAAAAGGTTTGCGTACGAAGGGGCGAATCGTTTGCCCATTGCTGTCCCTGAAGTTTGTAAATATGTTTTACCATTAAATGTGAAATCGTTTCGACTAAGACAAATCTCTAAAAGCTGTAGAATTGCATCGTCGGGTCTGTTTGGATCTGGGTTTCTATTAAAAGCTTTACGAACTGCCGTTAAACCAGTAGTGTTATCGATATTGGTATACATAGAAGAAACGTCGATAGAAATTAAAATGGCATTAGAGGGAACTCGAAGATTTTTTATTTTATTGACAAAATCGGTTGTGTCTTTAAGGTAGGCGCGATGTTGGCATGCTAGAGGTAGTAAGAAATGATCAATGTATTCTGACACTGCATATGACTCACTACCACAGTCAGATATAATCGGGCGGCCTTTAGGGATTTTATTCGAGACAAACCACTCCTTGGTTGGATTCTTATGGATTTTAGGCAAAGTGTACAAATGTATCTCGCGACAATCAGGTTTGGCAGACAGATAGTCATATTGTTTCTGTTTGAGATAACTAGTTTTGACTAAATCGGCAAGAATATTATTAATCATGTTAGCAGTTTCTTTGAAAATTGGTTTCGGTAAATGGCATAATGTTTAGGATTATTCAGTTGATTCTCTGCTTTTGAAACGTAATCCTCCCTATTCAGAATGACACAACATGAACCTTTTTCACTCTTTTTAATAACAATGCTATCGTCTTTCTTAAGTAAGTTTAACGCTTCACGTTCCACTCGTGTGAGATTAGGCTTTTCGTGTGTTATGGAAAGGTTCACTGTTTGGCTATTCATACTAGCAAATGCTTTCAATATTTCAGGATGGATGGCGGCCTGAGTGGGTGTCCACGTGGATTTAGGAATAAACATTGTTCTAGCACCACGTGGGGGGTGGTTTCGAAAAAAATATGTGCAGCTAAGATTTCGTTGAAATCGTTCAATGAATGGTCGGAGATAATTCAAGTTAGCTATCTTTGGTGTGGGAATAAACTTAAGTCCACGGTCTAAGATTGAATGCTGAAGGGGTGTGAGAATTTTGCGGCTCAAGTTAACTACAGTTTGGCCTAGCGGTGGCCTCTCAGTATTTTTATCCCCAGTAATTAGTTTAAAGACTTACTCGATGCTTGAAGCTGGTGTATCCAAAACAAATAAATGCTGTTTGCTGTTTCTGGAGACCAATGAAGATTATCAACTGTTTCGAATTCTTCTTCGTAGGGTGGTAAGATTGTTGCGCTGTTGATACTGGACTCCATCATCATGTTGTTGAGGGTGCTGAGGTTCTGTTGTGCTTTTTTCGAGATTTTATTTGAAATGGGTATACATGTGAAGAGGATCTTGGAGTTTGGGAAGGTTTTGTTAGCTGTGGCGATTAATTTCTGGGCTTGGTTAAAGGAGATCTTTGGTATCTGATCACGGTTGTTGAGGCCTACATGAAGAATAATGGTAGTAGGTTTGGGATCATGGTCGTATGATTCCAGGATTGACTGTATGTGATGGATTTGGGCACCGGGGTAAGAATGTATTTCGGTGTCTGAACTGGTTTTGGTAATTCGATTCAGGTTAGATGATCCAATTATTAAGGTTGATTTCTTTAGAGCAGGTAGTTTCCATAATGATTTGTCCTTGGTTTGGTGATAATACGGTTTGGTAGCGGATATAATGGTCGTCGACGGTGTGATTGGTACTGGTTTGGTAGTTGTTAGAATTGTAGCATTGGGAACGGACTGGGATCTGGTTCGAGGAGGGGAAGGTCTGGATACACGTCTCGACTTGGATGCAGACTGAGGGGTGGTTTGCTGGTCCAAAAACGCACAGAAGGAAGAAAGGTTGGCGGATCCTGGATCACGTGGTGAAGATTCAGATGGTGTGGAAGGGGAAGACGAGTCTGAAAGTGAAAAGAGAAGGGGTGTGCCCTCTCTACGAGAGCGTTTACCTATGTCTGCTGGACTAGGAGTAGGTGAACTTCGGGCTCGTTTAGGGGTTTGGTTCGGCAGCGTGGTAGCTCTAGATGGTGCAGGTGTAGTGTCCATTTCAGTTGGTAGATATGGTTACTCTGGTTTTTGTTTCGTTGATTGTTTGGTAGAATTTGGAAATTACAGCTTGAGTGAGACGTTTCCCATAGGAGCGACGGGCCCAGGACAGGGCATGAGAAACGATGCGGTCGACGGCAGGTGATGATAAAGACTTGGTACGAATGATGGTCAGCTTCTCTTGAAGTGTGGTTTGGTAATGGTCGATCAGGACCTGCGTAACCTTACAGAGCCATGTCCGATTGAGGGATCTAATATTCGCGTCGACAGCTGATGTTTTCATTGCTGAACGGATAAAACTATCCAACTCAGAGACTTTGCGTTTGAAGGTAAACGCTGGTTG